CAAAGGTGGTGTCAGATTTTCACCTCAACAAAGATATTGTCTTTCCTTCCTTGTGTCCACATCCCTCTCATCCAAGAAAAGCCAGCTCTTCATTGTCTGGATGTAGTCAGGGCCATTTGTGTTTAAATCTCCACCACAGCCTCTATTCAAAAGTCTGATACCAATTACTGTGTATTCTACCAGGGTGTTTACAATGTTCTAGGCTTTTCATCATTCTTCTATTGTTCAAGGTTTCAAAGTGGCTACTTGGTAATCAGATCACATTTACCAGGTTTTACAAGGATGACTTAGCTGCTTAGCTGTACCTATTCCTGTTTTTGTTTTGGGCTCACCCATTTATTTCGTTTTTTTGGTACGGCTTTGGGATGTTCCATACTTGAAGGGGTAAAGCTGTGTCCTTCAATGAATGATAGAGAAAAAGATTCAGTTCTTTCAAACTTTCCAAAGTTTTACCTCACCATCTGATGTACCTGGGTCTAAAGCCCAGTACACACAGACCACAAATCATGCTGTTGCTTTCAGTCTGTGTGTATAGCTGTCTGTTCAACAGAAGCTAGAAAGCCAGCACTTGATCAGCGCTTGCAGCCAATGGCTGTGACTGTGTGTACCCAACTTAATCCTGAACCTTGGCCCAAGCCAGAATTTCACTTCCTCCATAAATGATTGCCTCTTGAGGGCCCACACACGTACCCTCAGATTCAAAAGGCATCCCTCAATTTGCTTCTGCATTAGGATTCTGGGGCCTAATGGTAGCCTCTTCAAGGCAATTCTCTTTGCACAGTTTATTCACATTCACATGGAAGGTGATGAGAATGCATGGCAGCCTTACAGGTTGGGGAAGAGTTTACAACTCAGTTGGCAGTTCTGTTTGCAGTGTTGTTGTCCACCACTCACTTTACTTTGGATATCCAATGGTCTATGAACACAAGCCCCATGTCCTCTACTGTACGAATAAGATAATCAGAATTTTGACTTGCCTGTAAATTCCTTATCTTGGAGTACAGTACAGGAAACCGGCCCATCCTCCTCTGTTCTCTTTGGTCAATCATTTTTGCCAGTAACCAGTCACTTGAAGGTGGCCTGCTTTATAATCTATGAATACAAGCCCTCTGAGACAGAACTCCAAGATAAGGAATTAGCAGGCAAGTTAAAATAAAAACAAAAATGTAAACTAAGTTGGCCAGACAATTTGTGCAATTCTCCCCCTTTTTTTTTCCCACCTTCAGCTTTTCTAAAAGGACCCCCCCCCCCCCCCCACCCCTAAACCATACATTTTCTGAAAGCAAGGGACTGGTAGAATAAAAAGATGGTGCTACTGTTTTTTTAGGTTGGGTCCTGCGATAGTTGCACAAATATAAACTATAATTGTTATTAGCAGACACAAACAAAACATGACTTATAAAATTCCTGCTGCTTTCTTACCAAATATAACAGCTAAAACTGTGCTGAGTTAATAAATATTTGTACATTTTACTTTGTGCCTTTTTGTGAAATGGGGACAATCAAAGGTACGCATAACTGTAAAGAAGTAGCTTACTCTGATAACTTCCAGATTTTTATTCTTCACTTACAGCTTTCAGAGTTTGTTAAAGACCCCCCAAACCATACATTTTCTGAAAGTATAGGACCAGTAGAATAAAATGAAGGTGCTACTGATTTTTTTTTAGGCCTGTGATATTTGTGCACGTTCATAAAATCGATATATACACTAAAATCTTTATCAGCAGAACCAAACACAATAAAAGTTGCAAAGTTCCTGCTAAATATATTAGCTAAAATTTGTATTGAGTTAGTAAACAACAAATACTTGTTAATGGTACCTTTTTTTAGCAAAATCAAAGATGGAGAAAACTGAAACTAACAAAACACCACACCACATAGGATAAAGCACCTCATTGGATACCAGAAATAGTTTTTGTATACTGGACATTAAAAATCATAACATAACCTGCACGCCTGTCAAATTGAGACCTGCGGCTGTGTTCGTACATCTGGTGCTTCCTCATAGAGTATGTAGTAGTAGTAGTAACATAGGCTTCCTGCACTCCCCTCCAGCCGCATAACCAAACCGCTCATTTACACTATATTGGGAGCCCAGGGCTTTTCAAAACCCTGTTTGGTGAAGTCTAGGGGTTCTTTGCTGAAATGCCAGGGGTCGAATGTGATATCTCACTTTTGAGACAGAGAAAAGGGATTGAGGAGATAGATTCATCAGCCCCTTTTTCTGCAGCCTGAGCTGCACTGCAAGTTGGAGGGGTGGGGAGAAATGCCACATTTTAGATTAATAGTTGTAAGCAGTGGGTTGTCAGCAGCCAATCACAGCTATTCTTTTACAGCAGTTTACAGCAGAATTGGGAATGCAGCCACCGTAAGACTTACTGACCAAACCGGTTGGAATAGGCACTGTTCTGCCGTAGTCTTTATGGCAATGCCAGTAAACGAGTTAAAACATGGATAATGGCGGTGAAAGGGAGACGAAGAAAATGCGCATACAGTGTTTTTATAGTGATGAAGTACACAACTGTAAAATTAATTTCTATTCCCTAAAGCTTCATTTTTCTTGCATAGTACATGTTAAAAGCACACAGAGTATTATATATGAATGGGCCCTAAGATGTTAATTTTGTCCTAACAAAAACAAAAGTTTGCAATTCTATGTAGACCAAACCTCTGTAGTAGTGTAAATATAAATGTTAGGGGTACAGAACACTTCCTGGTAGCTAACTTTATATTTCAATAATTTTATTGAATTTTTCAGGGAAAAACAAAGGAATAAGACATTGTTCATTCATACATTATTGCAATAAAACATTATACAGTTGAGCATTGTTGTTGTTATTCCATTCGTTAGGCATTGGTGGAGTTGGTCTCATTTAGCGATTTATCATCAGAGGTATTTTTATATATATATATATATATATATATATATATATATATATATATATATATATATATATATATACAGTCATGGCCGAAATTGTTGGCACCCTTGATATTTCTCCAGGAAATCATGTATTTCTCACGAAACGTATTGCATTAACACATGTTTTGCTATACACATGTTTATTCCCTTTGTGTGTATTGGGACAAAACAAAAAAAGGGAGGAAAGAAAGCAAATTCGACATAATGTCACACAAACCTCCAAAAATGGGCTGGACAAAAGTATTGGCACCCTTTCACAACTGCGGATAAATAAGAATGTTACAAGCATGTGATGCTCCTGTAAACTCACCTGGGGCAAGTAACAGGTGTGGGCAATATAGAAATCACACCTGAAAGCAGATAAAAAGGAGAGACGTTCACTTAACCTTTGCATTGTGTGTCTGTCTGTGCCACACTAAGCATGGACAACAGAAAGAGGAGACGAGAACTGTCTGAGGACCTGAGAACCAAAATTGTGGCAAAATATCAACAATCTCAAGGTTACAAGTCCATCTCCAGAGAACTAGATTTGCCTTTGTCCACAGTGCGCAACATTATCAAGAAGTTTGCAACCCATGGCACTGTAGCTAATCTCCCTGGTCGTGGACGGATGAGGAAAATTGATGAAAAGATTGCAACGCAGAATAGTCCGGATGGTGGATAAGCAGCCCCAAACATGTTCCAAAGACATTCAAGCTGTCCTGCAGGCTCAGGGAGCATCAGTGTCAGCGCGAACTATCCGTCGACATTTAAATGAAATGAAACGCTATGGCAGGAGACCCAGGAGGACCCCACTGCTGACACAGAGACATAAAAAAGCAAGACTACAGTTTGCCAAAATGTACTTGAGTAAGCCAAAAGCCTTCTGGGAAAACGTCTTGTGGACAGATGAGACCAAGATAGAGAGCTTTTCGGTAAAGCACATCATTCTACTGTTTACCGAAAACGGAATGAGGCCTACAAAGAACAAAACACAGTACCTACGGTAAAATATGGTGGAGGTTCAATGATGTTTTGGGGTTGTTTTGCTGCCTCTGGCACTGGGTGCCTTGACTGTGTGCAAGGCATCATGAAATCTGAGGATTACCAAAGGATTTTGGGTCGCACTGTAGGGCCCAGTGTCAGAAAGCTGGGTTTGCGTCCAAGATCCTGGGTCTTCCAGCAGGACAATGACCCCAAACATACGTCAAAAAGCACTCAGAAATGGATGGCAAAGAAGCGCTGGAGAGTTCTGAAGTGGCCAGCAATGAGCCCAGATCTAAATCCCATTGAACACCTGTGGAGAGATCTTAAAATTGCTGTTGGGAAAAGGTGTCCTTCCAATAAGAGAGAGACCTGGAGCTGTTTGCAAAGGAAGAGTGGTCCAAAATTCCGGGTGAGAGGTGTCAGAAGCTTATTGATGGTTATAGGAAGCGACTGATTTCAGTTATGTTTTCCAAAGGGTGTGCAACCAAATATTAAGTTAAGGGTGCCAATACTTTTGTCCAGCCCATTTTTTGGGGTTTTGTGTGACATTATGTCATATTTGCTTTTCTGCCTCTGTTTTATATTTGTTCCCAATACATACAAAGGGAATAAACATGTGTATAGCAAAACATGTGTTAATGCAATACCTTTTTTGTGTGAAATACTTGATTTTCAGGGAAAAATATCAAGGGTGCCAACAATTTCGGCCATGACTGTATATATATATATATATATATATATATGAAGAACCTTGGTGAGGAGAAGGGTTGATAGGGGGGTTATTGGTAGGGGAGATGGAGGTGGGGGGAAGAAAAGGGGGGGAAAGATAAGGTAGTCAAGGTTTTAGGAGATGTTTTTAACTGTTTGAATGTTATCAGGGTTGTACAGAACATTTTGGGTGACTTAACCATCGGGTCCATTTCTGGTTAAATTTAAGGTGGGAGGAAGTATTGATTGCAGATTTTTTCTCCATTTCGCATTGGAAGTTGAGGTATATAATTAGTGAGGTAATTGAGGGGGCGTTAGTTGTGTTCCATAATCTGGTGATGTTTATTTTGGCCTGGTAGCTAACTTTAAATGGTGGTGTTTTATTTATTTTTTTTTTTTTTAGAACATGTCTTAAAGAGACAGCTGAACGTCTAGCTGAAAAATATGAAGAGGCCAAAGATAAACAAGAAGCTCTAATCAACAGGTTTGTTTGTAGAGTCCTAATGCAATCCATTCTGTGTTTTCTGACCAGTGAAACATTTTCCAGTTTAAAAGTTTTAGGAGGTTTGAACTGTACAGTTGTCAAAGGACCAAAACAGAAAATTCAGTCATAACTGTGCAAATGTACCTGAACCTGTTATGAAATGTTGAATGCACTGCTGAGAAGAAAAAAATGTTTCTTAACCATTTTAGCCTAGAGCAGAAAATATATCAATACAATAATTTCCATTTATTAGTCAGAGAAAGCTGGAGAGTAGGGATGCAGTCCCTTTTTTAATTCTGAAAAGTAGTGGGAAGAACACAAGTTGTGTTTATTTTATTTTTTATCTTAACCGCTTCCCGACTGCCTTATAGCAGAATACTTTGCAGGTGTGCAAAATCACGTATATATGCGTGATTTTGCATTTCCGGGTAGGGGGGCACACGCGAGCCCTACCCGCGCCGCCACTCGCAGCCACAGCTGTCAATCACCGGGACCCTGCCGGTGATTACCAAGGATCTCCGACGGGGAGAAGGACTGTTTTTACAGTGAAGCACGCTGACACGTCCCCCTAGTAAAACACTCCCTGCATGCAGTTAACCCTTTGATTGCCCCTCATGTTAACCCCTTCCTGCCCAATGCCATTAGTACAGTGTCAGTGCTTTTTTTTTTTTTTTTTTTTTTTTTTTTAGCACTGATCACAGTCAGTTACCCCCGCCAGAGTCCAGCTATAAGTCACTGATCACCGCCATTACTAGTAAAAAAAAAAAAAAAAAAAAAAAATTCCAGTATCTCTGCCGCCATTTGTAAATGCTATATCTTTCACGTAAGCCAATTAATTTACACGTATTGGGATTTTTTTTTTCAGCAAAGACGTAGCAGAATACTTTTTGGCATAAATTTATGACAACATTTTTTTTTCTTTTTTACTGGACATGTTTAATAACAAAGTCAAAAATATAGTTTTTTTTTTTCTCAAAATTGTCGGTCTTTTTTTTTTTTTTATAATACAAAAAATAAAAACCGCACAGGCGATCAAAGAAAGGACATAAATTTCATTAGGGTGCAGTGTTGCATGACCGCGCAATCAGGGGGGTAAATCCTCAGGAGGGCAAGTGGTTAAAGCAGAGCTCCAGTTGTGTTTTGTTTATTAAAAGTCAGCAGCTAAATTTTTTTTTGTAGCTGCTGACTTTTAATTTCTGCAGACGCCCGCCTGTCCCTTGATCCAGTGTTGTGCCCACCTGAGGGTGCGCCGTCTTTGGTCCCCGATGCTGGCATCTTAGCTGTGGGCACCTGGCTGTGACAGCTTACGGGCGGCTTCACATCCAGGTGCCCACTGCGCATGCACAGGCCGCACTGCACACTGTGATTGGTCCCTTGGGGGAGGGAATGAGGAGCGTTGTCAAAATCAGGTGTCGTCGTCCCCCCCCCCCCCCAAAAGAAAAAAAAAAGCTTGCCACATGTGAATGAGAGGGAAAAAGGCCTTAAAGCAGAACAGATGGCGTTCTTCTTTAAGTTTTAAAGATGTAGGCTGACTGGCATTGCCCTTTTTAAAGCCCTGAGAGGAAAACTTAGCTGAACACACACATATACATGCACACTATATTGCCAAAAGTATTTGGACGCCTGCCATTACACGCACATGAACTTTAATGGCATCCCAGTCTTAGTCTGTAGGTTTCCATATTGAGTTGGCCCACCCTTTGCAGCTATAACAGCTTCAACTCTTCTGGGAAGGCTGTCCACAAGGTTTAGGAGTGTCTCTATGGGAATGTTTGACCATTCTTCCAAAAGCGCATTTCTGAGGTCAGGCAACGATGTCAGATGAGAAGGTCTGGCTCGCAGTCTTTGCTCTAATTCATCCCAAAGGTGTTCTATCTGGTTGAGGTCAGGACTCTGTGCAGGCCAGTCAAGTTCCTTCACCCCAAACTCACTTATACATGTCTTTATGGACCTTACTTTGTGCACTGGAGTGCAGTCATGTTGGAACAGGAAGGGTCATCCCCAAACTGTTCCCACAAAGTCGGGAGCATGAAATTGTCCAAAATGTCTTGGTATGCTGATGCCTTAAGAGTTGCATTAACTGGAACTAAGGGGCCAATCCCAACCCCAGAAGGACAACCCCACACCATAATCCGCCCGTCACCAAACTCTACACTTGGCACAATGCAGTCAGGAAAGTACCGTTCTCCTGGCAACCGCCAAACCCAGAAAGTCCATCGGATTGCCAGACAGAGAAGCGTGATTCGTCACCCTAGAGAACACGTCTCCACTGTTCTTGAGTCCAGTGGTGGTGTGCTTTACACCACTGCATCGGATGCTTTGCCTTGCACTTGGTGATGTAAGGCTTGGATGCAGCTGCTCAGCCATGGAAACCCATTCCATGAAGCTCTCTACGTACTGTTGTGCTAATCTGAAGACCACACGAAGTTTGGAAGTCTTTTAGTTATTGACTCTGCAGACAGTTGGCGACTTTTGTGCGCTTCAGTATGCCCTGACCCCGCTGTCATTTTACATAGCCTGTTGTTCCCAGGTGCTTCCACTTTGTTATAATACCCCTAACACGTGGCAACCTATCATGGTACCACGCTCAAATTCACTGAGTTCCTAACAGCGACCCAATCTTTCACAAATGTTTGTAGAAGCAGTCTGCATACCTAGGTGCTTGATTTTATACACCAATCCAATGATTTGGAGGGGTGTCCCAATACTTTTGGCAAGTGTGTGTTATCTCAAAATACTTTGAATGCTGTTCATTCGTTCTAGAGCAGGGGTCGCCAAAATTTCTAAACAGAGTCCAGTTTACTGGCCTTCAAACTTTAGGGGGACAGACTGTGGCCATTGGGAGTATTGTCCTAGTGACTGTGGAAGTAAACAATGTTTCTTTGATATTTGGAGGAGGAATAGTGCCCCATTGTTGGTGTCAGTGGAAGGAATAGGGCCCCTTTGTTGGTGTCAGTGGAAGCAACAGTGCCCTGTTGTTTGAGGTCAGTGGAAGGAATAGTGCCCCATTGTTGGTGTCAGTGGAAGCAATAGGGCCCTTTGTTGGTGTTAGTGGAAGCAATAGTGTCCTGTTGTTTTATGTCAGTGGAAGGAATAGTGCCCCATTATTTGTGTCAGTGGAAGGACTAATGTCCTGTTGGTATCACTGAGAGGAATAGTGCCCATTGTTGATGTCACTGGGAGGAGTAGTGCCCCAATGCTGGTGCCTGTGGGAAATATAGTACGCCATCGTTGGTGTTTGTGGGAGATATAGTGTTCCATTGTTGTTGTTAGTGGGAGGAATAGTGCCTGTTGTTTTCAGTAGCAGGAATTATGCCCCATTGTTGGTGTCAGTGAAACGAACAGTGTCTTGTATCAGTTTGAGAAAAAGGGCCAGACAGAGGCAAGCAAAGGTACGCATCCTGCCCCAGGGCTGCAGTTTGGAGACCACAGATGCGACTATTCAGATCCTGCTGTCTCTTGTATGGATTACAGGTTAAGATTAACAGGAATTTATAATAATTATTTTTTTGATAGTGGGTTAGAGACTGTCAGGTCTTTTTTTTTTTTTTTTTTTTTAAATCTGTGCCCCTAGCTGAGAAAGATCCTGGTATTATCAATACAGAAAATAAAGGAAAATTTGTGAATGGTAGCAACTTTTGACATACTTTTCTCCAAACATGTTCATTAGGATGAAGGCTGTGCTACGCAATTTCTATACACAGCTCTGCATTTTATCAGACAGCGAAAGAGACATGAAAAAAGAACTGCAGATAACGTCTGAACAGCTACATCACCTAGGAAATGCAATAAAACAGGTACAAACGTTGATTGCAGCTGAAATGCCTTCAATATTTCCATCATTCTGTGATAAGTACAATTTGTATCTCCTAACACAGATCAAAATGAAAACTGCTTACCAAGAGAAGCAGGTGGAAAAGGAAAAAAGTCCAAGTGTATCTAACCTGACCCTTAATAACTACCAAAAGAAGACTATCCAGACTGTATTAAAAGAAGCGTAAGTATCTATAAAGCTGGAATTAAAAAAACAACAGAGGTGATGGTCAGTGGTTGTTTTTGCAGTGTTAATTATGTAAAAAAAAATGCAGTGGCTGTATGCCAGTCACAGTGTGGAGAATTAAATAGTGATAGTTCCAATTTTCTTTTTATGTCATGTGATATTAGCGCAACAGTTTATCAAAAGCAAATTTTCAGTTATAAAAAAAATACACTAAACCTAATTTTAGGACACACAAAAGCAAGTGGTGTCAGGACACATGTGATCATTGGAGGAGAGCAGACTGAGTTCTTGACACAGCTACAGAACTGACCACGCTGTGCTCTCTTGCTTTATGTGATCAGTTTTTAAAAGGACAGTAGAGGGACTGGCAAGAACACCAGGGATTTCACACAAAAGGAAGCAATACAAAGAGAACAGAATATTTTTTTCATACAAGTACATGGTACAGCAGGCATGTATCAGGAATATGTAATGCTGGGTTTACATTTAACTGTGAAAAATAGGCCTAGACATATTTATCTCCCTCTGGCACGTGGTGATGTGTAGTGCAATCAATGTTTTCATACGTAGATACCCCTGACGTGTGTTTTTCACATTTGTATGTATGTGAGGGCAGTCTCCAAAGGTTTATTTATTAATTTTTAAAGTGCTAGGGTGTGATTTCCATTTTTTGCAGTTTTTTCCCCCTTCTTACTAAAACTCATGTATGTGATGTAAGTTTGTGACAGGTTCTCTTTAATGAGACATCGGGCATTTAAAAGACCCCTGATGTCTCACCTGCCTCCATTAATAGAGTGCATATCTCGTTTTATTAGTTTTTTCCTGACCACAGCAGCAAGGGAAAGTGACAGCAGAAAACTGAAGTGACAATATACTGTACCTGTTACTAGGTAGGGGAGATAAGTGAATGGATGTTTGCTGGTTTACCTCCCCTCTACCTTGTGATACCCGCCATGAGGCTTTGGAGCCCAAGAGAGCCCAGAACACATGGCAGGGGTGGTCACACTTTTGAGAGTCTGTGAAAGTGGGAAACACCCCCCCCCCCCCGCCACTGTTATTTGCTGTATGTCAGTGATAGTAAATAAAAGAATGTATATTTAGTTCTTTGCATATTTATTTAAAATGCTGTTTATTCTATTCATCTAGCATAGCCCTTGGGGAATTTTTCTCCCAACTGTCAGCAACAATGGGGCAGCAGCATAGTTCCTACCACTGACACCAACAATGGAGCACTATTCCTCTTACTGACACTATTGATGGCACAATATTTCTCCCACTGACACCAATGTTGAAGCACTATTCTTCCCACTGACAGCAATGTTGGGGCACTATCCTTCCCACTGACACCAATGATGCGGCACTATTTCTCCGACTGACACCAATGTTAGGGCACTATTCTCACTGACACCAATGATGGGGCACTATTTTTCCTACTAACCCCAAGGATGGGGAACTATTCTTCCCACTGACAGCAATGATGGAGCCCTATTCCTCCCACTGACACAAATGATGGGGGCACTGTTCCTCCCAATGACACCAGTGTTGGGGTTCTATTCCTCCTACTGACAAAAAATGATGGGGGCACTCTTCCTCCCACTGCCACCAATAATGGGGCATTTTCCGCTCCCACTGCCACCAGTGATGGGGCCCTATTCCTCCCTTTGTCTACTGCCACTGACACCTGGACATTTTCTAATTCCGCTGGCCACAGTGTGGCCCTCCTAAATTTTGAATGACAGTAATTGGCCCTTTTTTTAGAAAGTTTAGAGACCCCTGATCTAGCAGGTAGAACACTAGTTTCCTTTTTGTACATTATTTGCATTAATATTTTTCACCTTTGCCAATTAGAATCTCACTGTTTATAGAACTAAATAAGTCTGCAGGGCTGAGCTGAAAAACTGTTGTTTTGTCCTGCCCTTTTATGTTATATTTATTCTGGTTTTCTTGTTTTAGGGGTGAACATATTCAAGAAATGGTAAAACAAATAAACAGCATCCGAAGCCATGTGAACTTTTAACTCCTAAGGAGGTTTTAATACTTTCTATTTAAGGGAAAGGTCTTTCATTTATTTTGTAGACTGTACATAAAGGATAAGTGGATCTAAGCTCACTTTGGATTGTAAACTTGGCCAAGGAATGTTCATCATACTCCCTGATTGGAGTTTCCTCAGTGGATTTATTCCTGTTTTATCATTGAGATTGTATAGAATGCACTTTTTTTTTTAACGTAACCAAAATGCAAAAGATTTTTTTTTCACACTTGAAATACATACCTTTACCAATGTTCTGGTGTGAGTTCTCATTTTTGATGTTCTTCATGAAACCTGCATAGAAATGTATATTCTCAAAGAAACTCTGTAGCTAAAATTTCCAAATCAACTTTTCCCTGAAAAGAAGATATGAATCCTCACCACTCCAGCTGCCCACATTGCCTATTTCTGCAGGACTTAAAAGAAATATTCAGTTCAGTTGCTTACAGAGTCTGACGCTTTCTTGTTCTCCATATTTCAAGCTGCCAGTCCTTGTTTAACTACAGTACGCAATAATGACATGAGAGCTGGCAGGTTGATCCAAGGAGTGCATTGAGAGACCAGAAGTCCAACTTTCTTAAAGTGTGGAATCTGCAGGATCTTTAGATGGCAGTTTCTGTATACCATACCAAAGATCATCAGTAAGAGAGACCATTCCGCTGAGTCCAGAAGTTGTCTGTCAGGAGGAGCTGCAGAAGATGGAAGTCTGGGTGATGCTGGATGTGGATTTAATAACCTCTCACTTCAGAAAAAGGTTGGCCAGTTAATTTCCAGTGTTCTGAAGGTAGATGTTGTGGAGGGCTCAGAAGCCAAGGGGAAACTGGATACAGAATCTGCTTAAAAAAAGGTAGCAGGAGCACAATTCTATCCTTATAGTCAACAGGTAACTGGGGGATTTAGGCCATGAAGTATTGCACGATTGTAGTAGAACGTCACCAGAAAGGACAGAAAAAATAGGCCACAGCCAAAGGAGTTGAAGGTCTCCAATGACCAACTACACTCCGCAGAGGCCAACAGGATTTCAGGCTGCACATATCAACATCATCAGGAGGTGCACTGCAAGAAGCCCAGGATCTGTTAGTAGAGAAAGTGGGGGGGCACCCATTATAAAGCAGGACTGTCCTCACCATCCCTATGCTTCTAGAGTAACACATGTTGTGACCGAGCGGCGGTAAGCCAACTTAAGGTGTTTACCTGTACAGAAAACCTGTAGAGATAACATAACACCAGACCCCCCTATCCCTGCCCCACTGTATTTACTGCTGGCTGTCAGGGCTCCCACACCCACTGCTGGAATATTGATCTGGTAAGTTAAGTAGCAGAGGGGGTTGTTAATCAGTTTCAGCTGCTTTGGTGTTAATTAAATTAACAGGTACACTAGATGGGCAACAATGAGACGGCCCCCAAAACAGGAATGGTTTTACAGATGAAGGACACTGATATTTTTTTTTCCCTACTCATCTTCTCTGTTTTTCACTAGTTTTGCATTTGGCTAGGGTCATTGTTACTACAGGAAGCATGAGGTGATACCTGGACCCTACAGAGGTTAGACAGGCAATCCAACTCCTCCAGGATGGCACATCAATATGTGCCATTGCCAGGTTTGCTGTGTCTCCCAGCACAGTCTCAAGAGCATGGAGGAGAGACGCTGTGGCGAATGTTATGCTGCTTGGAAAAACGTTCAGCATAACAGTTTTGGTGGTGAGTGATGGTCTGGGGAGGCATATCCATGGAAGGACACACTGACCTCTACAGGCTAGAGAATGGCACCCTGACTGCCATTAGGTATCGGGATAAAATCCTTGGACCCATTGTCAGACCCTACGCTGGTGCAATGGGTCTGGGTTCCTCTTGGTGCATGACAATGCCTGGCCTCGTGGCGAAAGTATGCAAGCAATTCCTGGAGGATGAAGGAATTGATGCCGTTGAATGGCTCCCACTCTGGCCTGACCTAAATCCAGTAGAACACCTCTGGGATATCATGTTTTGGTCCATCCAACACCACCAAGTCACACCTCAGACTGTCCAGGAGCTCAGTGATGCCCAGGTCCAGATCTGGGAGGAAATACCCCAGGACACCATCCGTTGTCTCATTAGGAGCATGCCCCGACGTTGTCAGGCATGCATACAAGCACGTGGGGGCCATACAAACTAGCGAGTACTATTTTGAGTTGCTGCAATGACATTTTAGCAAAATGGACTAGCCTGCTGCATAATTTTTTCACTGTGATTTTTTTGGGGTGTCTTTGAATTCAGTCCTCTGTAGCTAGATAATTTTCATTTCCATCAAACGATGGGGCATCCTTACGTTCCTAACACATTACCCAGTCCATATCAGTATAGATGTTCAGCATGATATTTTTCCCTATTGCGATCTGTAGGGCCACAGTGGATGCCATGCAAACATAGCAGCCTAAATTGACAAGCCAGACTGGGGCTGTCATGTTTGAAATAGCACCAGCAGCAGGGAATGCAGGGGCACCAGGTAAATAAATACTACATGGTCGGGGGGGGGGGGGGGGGTTCACCATTCATAACTACCCCCAACTCCTCACACAGCACAAACATAGGTTAAATTTATACTGGCGATTAGAGCCAGTGCCAATTGTAGCAGCAGTCTCTCCTGTGGCTAGATGCTGCTGTCTGCCCTACTCACTATGACAGCTCATCTTCATCGACAGCCACACATATTTGTCTACAAAACCAGCAATTACCAGTGGTGATCACTGCTGAACTCACTTTGTCCCATTTATAGTGAATGGGCCCAGTGACCGCACCTAACAGCTGAGAGCCACAGGAGGAACTGCTCATCAGCTATCCTTATTGTTGGTGTACTTTTTACGCGTTCTAAGACCATTTATTTTTGTCCAATGTGGCCCAGAAAAGTCAAAAGGTTGGATATCCCTGCTCTAGGTGCTGTATAGGCTCCAGAAACAGATTTTAACTGGGGTATGCTTTCAAAAAGAGAAGGGACTGAGGATAGAAGCACCATGACAAGACAAAATGAGGCAAAACAACAACCCAGGCAGTTGGGAGCAGATGGAGGAACCCTAGAGAGGGACCTTTTGTTATGGAATGAAGATAAAATAGGGGCAGGTTTCCATTGAGCCACGGTACATGGCCATAGATGTCATGCCTGACTCCCTAACCGCTAAATGAATCAAAGGGTAAAATGTTCTGCGGGCTGGCAGGAAAATTTAGGCAGTTCCCAGGGACAACAACAAATGGAACAAGAATGGATTATGGAAGTAAGAAGAATACCAGTCTCGACACTTTCCAGTCCCAAGTGGCAGAGAAGTCCAAGGGGGGATCCAACTGCTGATGAGAACAGAGGCCTCCATTCACTGAAGTATATCTTATGAGGTAATTATGTGTTGTGACATTTTTCCCCATATATCTCCTGAGCTAATGAAAATGTCAATTCACTATGCCTTTATGAGGTATTTACCCTAAAAGCAATAAAGTTTGGTAAATACCTCGTAAATGTCAATTCACAAAAGGAAATAAATAAATGCATGAGTTAGGCAAGTAGTGGTCCAGGCATGCGCTATTTAAGTGGTTCCCACCCAGCCTATTGGAAAATGATGGCCAGCGGGACCGCTCTTGTTCTGGGAGAAAGTCACATGATGTCCTCTCATTCTTGGAGTGCAGCACGGTGATTGGTAGTGAGCTAAGTCCATGAGACAGCACATCACCGATCAGGGTAAAGAGCCAATGACACTGGCTCTTTACCATGTGATGAGCTGTGTCCAATTACAGCTGATCACATGTAAACAAATTCTGGTTATCAGCATCTCCTTTTCTCAGTGCAGTCACTGCCTGAGGAAAGGAAAGCTGATAAACCGATTTCCTGTGACGGGACATTTATCTATCGTCCTATCAGCGGAGCCTCATCAGCACATTTCAGTGAACAAAAAGTACTTATTTGCTAAATTCTATAATAGAAACAAAGAAAAATGTTTTTTCAAAATGTTAGTTCCACCAAAAAATAAAAAACCCACTGGTGATTAAATACCACCAAAAGAAAGCTCTATTTGTGTGAAAAAAAATGTCACACCAGTATAGTGTTGTATGACTGTGCAATTGTCATTCAAAGTGCGACAGCACTGAAAGTGAAATTTGGCCTAGGCAGGAAGGGGGTGAAGGTGCACATTATTGAAGTGGTTAAGAAATTTAAAAATATAATAGACGATTTAGAGCAGTCTCTACCTTTTTACCTCTCTACCTCTACCAGTAGTCTCTCAACAGTAATGCACAGAAACCTAAATATGGAAAAACACAAATATTGGTGTTGCTTTACTAAAGGCAAACAGACTGTGCACTTTGCAAGTTGCTGCAGCACTTAGGATATGAGGTACAACTTCACTTTGCAAAGAATACCCAATCACATACAAGGAAAATTTAAAAAGAAAGAAAAAACAGCTGCATTTTTGCTTCCACATAATTGAATGATGGAGGTCAGCAGAGCTTCCTCTCATTTTGGATAGTAATGGGTTAGAACTGGCAGTTTTGGGGTTTTTTTTCCTGTCTGTGTCCCACTGGGGAGATTTCCCCACTATTAAAGTTTGATGTCAACCAAAAATGTGGGAATTTTTCTTTTCCTTTCAGTTTTAGTGATAAGGAGAAACTGTAACAATGAAATTGAATTTTCCTAATGGCACACAGCAATAAAAACTGACAAGTGTTCTAATCCCTCTCCACTCTATCAATCTCACTGGATATCTTGTCATAAGATAAATACCTCACCTTTTGATGAAATAACTCATGCCTTATTTTAGTAGTGTTTTTGTGAATTGCAAATTTTTTTTTTTTAAATACTGCGTTATTTTATTTCAGATCTTAGAGGAAAATAACTCTGAGAATTGAGCCAGACGATTGGATCCTATGAGAGTCCCCTCATAAGGCAGGAGAGAGCAGAGCATGCACCTTACTCCAGGAAAGGCAAATTTGTGGCCACAGCCATGGAAGGTGGAAGCTCAGGATGAGGC